GGCACTAACGTCTCCCCGAACCCGAGAATCCCCTCTCAATGCCCGCGTACCTTTTCCCGGCTCCTGAGGGAAAGGAACGGGGCGGGAAAATGATAAACCCCACAGCCGACGTAGGTGGATCCAGTTTCCGGAATAGCGGAAAAACGGGGCGATGGGGGGTCGCAAAGCCGGCGGTGCCGCCGACGCCGCTTCCTTTCGGCGCGGAAGAACGAACGGCAGGCGCAAGGAAAAGAAATTGAGGAAGGGTAGAGAAAGGAGGGACTGGAATCCGCCCCGTCCGCTTGCGTCACTCTCCCGCCTCCCGCTGAGGTCCGCGCGGCGGCCAGGGGGAAGAGGATTAGGCCGCCCGGAACCGCCGCCGAGCGGCGGATCGCCAGCAGACGGAGGGCTGCGAAGGAACCGACGGATTTGGCGCCTCGTCGGAAAACGCCATCCGTCTTCCAAGGGGACCGGGGCGAGGGGAAGGAGCCTTTTTTAGAGCGGCGACGAGTGTTTCGCGAGGGGCTTCGCCCACCCCGCTCACGGCAACGAGACGGGGCTACGGGCGAGGAAATTCAGGTGAAACTCGCCCTAACGACGGGCCAACTCCCGAGGGAGAAAGAAGCAGAGAAATGATGACGCCCTAAAATTATTGTTGCTTTTCAAAATAGTAGTAGTGCGTGTTTTGGCCAATTAAGTAATAATTGGCCAAATCCCATTATACCTGACGGCTGGAAAGGTAGAAGAACGGTGCGAAAAAGCCCAAGCGGGGTGCCCCGATTTGAATAAAGCACCTCAAGGAGGAATCAAGAATGATATTTTTCATTTTCTGCTAAATGTGGCCACAATGTGATTATTTTGATAATATTAAGATGACCTATTTATACCAACGATTCGCAGTTCCCATCCCAAATGGCTTATTGTTACGTCCGGGTTAATTCCGGGCAAAGCAAGTTTTCCCCTTCCAGAGCAGAAGATAAAAATCTCAGAACAGGGGGGAAAAAAAAAAAAAAATCAAAAAAACCCATAAAACCCATAAAAACTCTCTGCATTCTGCAATTTCCCTTCAGCTAACAGCTTCACCCGCTTCTCCGACTTCCCCCTTCTCCCGCCTTGGCTCCGGCTTACGGTCACGGGGAAAACGGACTCCGCTTGGGGAAAAAAAAAATCAGTTGAATCAGCAATCGAATCGGCGTAGGACAACGAGAGACCCGACACGGGCTGATGTGCAGCGGCTGGTCGAGGCGGTCGTTACTCCAGGTGACCAAATTAAAATTTGGGAAAGAACGCGGAGATGGGCCGGGGAAGCGCCAGGCCAGCGGATGACCCGCGTTGGGGCCCCCCCTGGTTTACCAGCCGATAGCGATACATGGCAAAAAGCGAGAGGGCGACTCAGGAGGAAAAATTAAATTGGGTCGAAGTCCCAGAACGGCGGCAAGGTAATACCGAGCAACCCTCTGAATATTTTGCCCGATGGGTTAAAAAAAAGAGAATATTTCAATGGGGTCAGCTCTGAAAAATGAGGAAAATTGGACTCTGATTGTATCTTTTTTCATAAATCTCTCAGCCTGAGATAGAAATATTTTTCTTGGTTGTGTCATCACCCTCAGGCTTTAGCTCTGGGGCGCTCTGACTCTCGCTACTTGGGACCTGGCTGCGCCTCACTCAGCGGGCGGTGGGGCATTAGCGTATGTTCTATTTTTCATTATTTTAATTACTTCACAGAATCACAAAAGTTGGAAAAGACCTCCGTGGCGGTTTAACTCCGGCTAGCAAAATACCGGGAAGCCGCTCTCACAGATTCCCCGTCCTCCAGCGGAAGGGGAGAATCAGAGGAAAGAACTAACGAAGTTTGTAAAATTGAGATCAGAACTATTTACTAATTGAATCTGAATGAATATATACCAATACTACTAATAATAAATAATTAAAACAACAGGAAATAAAACATATGATACAATTATGATACAATTGCTCACCCCCATTACTCGAACGGCCCGACGACGCTCAATGTATTAAACCACCCGAACATCTGGAATATCGAAAGGACCGGGTTTTGTCTCGAAATTCTCGGGAATTCCACACACTCCCAGCACCTCGGCCAACGGGGGAATGAGGAAAGACCGGGAAAAGTGGGATAAACGGGGCTGCGTCCCTCTGTAGGTTGAGGAGACCCCACAGGAATACGCCCCGTGGACTCGCCCTTTATCCCAATAATAGATTTTAAATTTTTTTTTACCGCCTCCTTCGCGAACGCGGCCTCCTGGCAGCACGCTTTTTGGTTACAGGGGCGCGGAAAGGAGCTTTGGATACGTCAGGAGTCAGCCTTGGGAATGGGAGAGGATAGGCGGGCCACGGATTGATGGCGGCGGAAAGGGAATT